GACCATGCAAATGAGGGGCCCTGAGCTTTCACTAACCTCAAGGTAAGCCTACCTGTGGGAACAATTTGTTGAACAAATAAATAATGTTAGGCTTCAGTTGCCATATCTAAAAGTGAAATCTTGTCTAGCCTTTCAGCAAACATGGTAAAATCCAGAGGAATTTGGGGCTAGTTGCACTCTACACACTCCTATGGTGTGATTTGGTCAACCTCAGTCAATGATAATGACATGATAATGGCAGTCATAATTATATTAAGAGCATATTAACCTGATAAATACATAATGCCTGTCATCACCAACCTAAATATTTTGCAAAAATCACTTTACAAAACATGTAGATGTAAGCACGTTGAGATGAAAGAACAAAATGTCATCATTTGTCATTTCGAGAGTAGATAAACTGCAAAATCCTCTGAAGAACCTTCATTAAAATACATTGTAATTTCTGTACTGATCGTGAGACTGGTCATCTGGAATATAGACATGGTTTCCTTTTCCATTAAATCTACAAAATGGCTTGCCCACCTTTTATCATGATAAGTTTTATTTTTTTAAAGATTTTATTTATTTTGAGAGAGAGAGAGAGTGCACGAGTGAGGGGAAAAGGCAGAGGGAGAGCAGACTCCCCGCTGAGCAGGGACCCCCCCCCCGCCGACCCCAACATGGGGCTGGATCCCAGGATCCCAGGATCATGACCTGAGCCAAAGGCAGACCCTTCACTGATTGAGCCACCCAGGCGCCCCTCATGATAACTTTTAATAAAAGAGCCACGACAATAGGGAGATAGCAGATACTTCAGCCAATGAAGTTAGCTTTGTATGTGAACCATATGAACTATAGGTGAATTGTGTGAACTAGAAAACCTGTAACTCGGATGTGAATCGGCAAAATGTAGAATGTATCATGGTTAGGGAAGGATGCTATCCTTTGTCTTTACTGAGTCATTTAAGTACTTAACATTTTCAAAAATGAAAAAGTAAATAAATTATTTTGCAACTCTGCTTCTTTTCGCTTAAAACTGTTGCAGTCCAAAGTTTTGTGGAATAATACACCTTATAGCTCCTATTTAATTAAAGGAGAAAAGCATTCAAAACGCTGGTCTCCAGATATTGTTCCTTGTCAGTGTATCTCCCTTCCTCTTGGCTACTGGAAATTCCTGTTTTTTCCCCTTTTGGTTCGGAGGTGCTACCTCACCTTCATTCCTTGCTATATTAATGTCAGATAAGCATATGAGCTTGTTTATGGGAAATGTATTTGGTACACAGAATTACAGAAATGATGTAAAAAGGTGGGGAGGGTTCAGACAGATATCAGATGATACTATTTGCAATAAAGGACAAGTCTGGAGTGGAACCCATTTTGATGGCCTCTGTCATTTGAAACACCCTAACTTGGCTACAGGAATGAAGGCCACAAAAAACATATAGCAGACCAAGGGACTTGGCACACCCCAATGGCTGAACCAATAACCTCTATATAAATCATCAGGTGAATACACTTGACTGGGTCAGTCAAATTCACCTGCGTGTAAAGAACTGTTTCCATGTGCATCACCACATTCAAAGAGAGAAACTAAAGGGGTTTACGAGACATGGATAGGTCTAGATTATGCAAAATGTCTAAATCAGAAATGTTTTTAATAGATTTATGACACCATATCACCTTTATATATGCATACATTACATCCACCAGTGAGAATCCTTCCTCCTGTAATGAAAATTCCCGGTTGCGAAACTCGAATTTAAAAACATTAGTTTGCCTGAGAGTGATGCAGTGTGTTTGATTTCCCTGAAATTCTTCTACAGGGTTCCTGTTTGCCTCCTAATTATGCCAGGGGGAGTTCTTAAACATGATTTTTTTTCCTTTGCTGTGAACATCAGAAACTATCTCTTAACTGCATCAAAAAACACTGGGGAGTCACGCTCCTTGTCTCACTTGCTAAACTTCCTTAATAAAGCTAACAAAAGCTTTCAGGGGTGGAATTTTATACTAGCAATGTCAATTCAGACCGGTTAAATACAGTGAACAAACTTGCCTGCTATGGCAAGCATTCCACCCAAATTGACTAGGTGTGGCTTTTATTCATTGTTCAGTCACACTAAACAGAATCTGTTCTCTAGCTACCATCCCATTTAGGTTGACATTCCCTTTATCTGGGGCTTATAATAAGCAAACCATACTCAATTTTCCGAAAGCAGATGTGCTCTCTTGGTATCCTAGAAACGGATCAAAGTATGCTTTGTGGGAAGACCTGAAGTTCAAGCCAGTGATACCAAATGGGGCTTAATATGCAACCATACAAATATCAGGATTGGAAGTTTAAACAAAAGCTTGACTATCTAGGGAGAAGAATCAGATTATCAGGGTGGTGGGGGGTTAAAAGGGATAGAGAGTTGTTTGGGGAGCGTAGGTACCAGAAAAATCAAGTAAAATCACATGTTACTTCTATGGTAATATCAAGATCCATAATAAAGAACATTTCTTTCAAATCAGACTGGTAAATGTCACTTAAAATTGCTCACACTAGTGCAATTACAACACGCCTACAAACCTTTCTAGACCACAAAATAGGATCATATCAATCATCTTGGGGTTAGTTTTTTGTATACATATTAACTGCAGAAATTAATCTTTTATCAGTTTATCACATCACAACAGCTATTGTTAAATAATCTACAAGGTAGAAAAGCAATTTCCAATTGCTCCCTGGGGTCTTCTAAGTAATGTCTTGTATCTTACGATACGCAATAAAATAAATTGTACTCCTGTGAGTCATATCAGTCATATTCTGCAGCCTGAAATCTGAAATTACCCTCATGGAAGAAAAAAAAGGGAAATGTATTCTTTTATAGAAAGCATGGAGAATTCAATTAGAAAGCACAAGAGGCTGGAGAACTCAATGGATCTCTTATTGGACTCTAAAAAAAGCCACTCCCTTGTCTCCAGGGTGAGCCAGCATGATCAATAATGCATGAATGGTGGAGACGGGGAACGGAAAGACTCTCCTGGAGGCTGAATAGAAGATGAATAGTCTGCCTTCTGCCTTTACCCCTACTTTATCCCAGGCCTTGCTCTCTGATTCCCCGAAACCGGGCATTTGATTGATGCCCCAATGCTGTCTCTTGACCTAAGGAAAAAAAAACACATGCTGGGCTCAGGTGTGTAATACAATCTGGCCCCTATTCTTTGCTCAGTCTGAAATTGGGAGATCCACGAGAGGCCAAGAGCAGTAATAACGGTGGGTGAAAAGCTCCCTTGCTTTATTCCCCTACTACTCACATTTTCTGGACTCACCACACACATTCACTTCTCTGTGGTTTTGTTCATACTATTCCCAGAATCTAGAACACCTTCTCTTCCCTACCCATTTAGAAATAGGGAGGAACTAAAATACTTCAGTGTGTGAAAGCTAACGAAAGAGTTTGAAGAAGGAGTTCAACCATATGACCTTCTGGGAGCTAATTTATCAATGTAATTAATCAGCTGAGTTCCAAGGCAAATGTTTTTGGCAAACTACTAGTACGGGTGATGCTAAATAAACAAATAACTTTACTTAAAGCTGTCTGGACCTTCTGGAAAAAGAGGATCATGGTGCAAAATTTCAGTGACTCATCAAGGCCCCTACCACCTGTTTTATGCACTAACTATAAAGATGTACCAGTGAAGGGGTTGCCCTGTCCACACGGATTTCCTCGAATTCTGAGAATCAATTTTATAATGAAATAGGCTTTGCTGAGAGCACATTTTCATTGTATCCATCTAAATACTACATAGCTGAAAAGCTAGATGGTCTTTAGCTTTCAGTGAGTTTATTACACAGTCACCGACCAAATGGGTAACAGATGAAGACAACATACCTCTTTCCAATTAGTATCTAGATAATGAAAGGTCTAAGACTAAATTGCAACTTTATATTATAAGGTATCAGGGCAAGATGAATTCTCAATAAGACAAAATTACTTTTTAAAGGATCCATTTCAACTCATTGATCCATAAAAATACCAGACGCTGGTCTAGAATGGCAACATAATCTTTTTAATTCCTGCAAAGGCAAACTCTGTGGCTGGGTTAAGTTAAACCACCACCAAATAACTGGCCAGGATTCCTCAAGAATGTCAAGGTCATGGGAAACAGGGAAAGACTGAGAATTGGTCGCAGACCAGATGAGAGAAGGGAGACAGGAGTCAAATAAATGCACCCTACCACCCTGGATTCGACACTGGAACAGCAAGACGACCCTAACAGAACAGCTAATAAAGTCTGAATAAAATCTGGAGTTTAATTAATAGCAATGTGTAAAATGTCAGTTTCTTCATTTTGACAAATATGCCATAAGAAATTAACGGGGGGGAACTGGGTGAGGGGTAATATGGGAACTCTCTGTACTGTCTTTGCCAACTTTTCCTTCAACCTGTAATTATTTCAAAATAAAAAGCCCATTAAAAAGTAACAAAACTGCCGGGCGCCTGGGTGGCTCAGTTGGTTAAGCGACTGCCTTCGGCTCAGGTCATGATCCTGGAGTCCCAGGATCGAGTCCCACATCGGGCTCCCCGCTCAGCGGGGAGTCTGCTTCTCCCTCTGACCCTCCTCCCTCTCATGCTCTCTGTCTCTCATTCTCTCTCTCTCAAATAAATAAATAAAATCTTAAAAAAAAAAAAGTAACAAAACTGCCATGAAAGAGCCAGGAAATTTGTTTGGATTAATATCCTAGCATTCAACGGTTTACCTGTAATAACAATCAGACCTCCGCCTTATCTTAAAATGCCCCTGCTCCTTTATTAATATTCTTCTAAACTGAATTCATGGTAAATGCAACCCAGGTGTTAAACCCAACACACCCAAATGCTCCCCTAACACGCACAACAGCTTCGTGGCGTCAATTAACACATTAGCAGGCATCCTACATCCTTCTGTAAGTTCCCGAAAGCCGGGCAAGGGCTTATTCTTAAAAAAAAAAAAAGACACATATGCAGTTTTTCAAAGACATAGCTGTGACTTACAAGCGATGACATGTGAGCATTCTGGAGCATAAACTGCATTTGCTGGGCAAACATGGCTGCGGCAGTCTTTTGTTGGATCAGATTGTTGCGTCCATTAATTTCCAGCTGAGTTTTTAAGTGTGGAGGAGGGTGAAGGTACTTGCAGTTCTCTCTAGCGCACCGACCCTGAAAATAAAAAATTAGATGAATGCTCGTTGGTATTTCTAAAAATCTGGCAACAAAATAACAAAAGTTTATGCAGTTCCAAGCATGTGCGGTGTACTGTAATAAGCACTTTGCACCAATTAACTTAGTCTTCGTACCAACCCTCTAAGATCGAGACCCTTGTAACCTTCACCTTCCAGATGAAGAAACTGAGACTAAGAGAAATTTGCGCAGCTATAAAGTGACAAAACCCAAACTAAAACCCAGTTGGTCTGATTCCAGAACTCATTCTCTTAGCCACTAGGGTCTGCCCTACTTTGATATGCATCAAATTATGTTTAAAACATAAAATATTAAGGGGCACCTGGGTGGCGCAGTCGGTTAAGTGCCCAACTCTTGGTTTCTCCTTAGGTTGTGATCTTGGGGTTGTGGGATCGAGCCCCAGGGTGGGCTCCGTGCTCAGCAGGGAGTCTGAGATTTTTTTTCTCCCTCTCTCTCTGCCCCCGCCCCACCGCCACTCTCTTTCCCTTCTCTCTCTCAATAAATAAACAAATCTTTTAAAAAAAACCCATAAAATATTAGGAATACTATGATACCCTCATAACGTTACAGATTTAAATAAAAATTTCCTGACATGAGATGTAAAATCATGCATGTTAAATACGATTCAGGATTTGGATCTGCATATAGAAACTATCAAGAAAATTGAGGGAAAATGTTAGATACACGTAAATATACCTGATAAATTTTAGATCCATTTTTCTGGACAATTTTAAAGTTCTTTTTCCTGAGTCCATACAACGTGAGAAACATCCTGAAATCCCCTGAGGTTCTGTTCATCAGAGAGTGAATCTTTATACCTGGCAGTCATGTTCTTTAGGCTCTGAGGCAATGGCCCTAGATCACTTGGATAATTGAGACCAAAGTGTATTTTGGAGTCTCGGCTCTTTCAATGTTTTATTGATGGTTTACGCACTTCCAGACAGGATAATATGTCAGTCCTGGGCAATCAAATATGCCTTTGGTGTTGCCTAAATGCTGACATGGCTGCTAATTATGGTGTCTACTACGTGGTACCAAAGGACGTCACTGGACAGAGATTTATCACAATGTCAAATGTGACCTGTTGTTGTGTTTGTTTAACTCGTGAGTACTATACAAAGAGGCTACTGAATCTCTCATTCATATGACCAGGCCCCCCATAATCCTTTTCAGACAAGCACAACTGTAAGCAATTCTTTTTTCCCACTGATGCTAGAATTCTTTACAGTGCATGAGCTTATTGGAGAGAGAGGTGGAGAAAAAAAGCAGCTTTTTTAGGGGGGGTTACCCAAGAATGTAAGTTGCTAGTCCACCTGAATCCGCAGGAGAAATGGGTTAGTTCATCAAGCGTTTTTAACAGATGCTATGAATTGCCCTTACTTCAGAGGGCTAAACCGTTCACAATCACTCCTCCACACTGAGTTATCTGGTCATTAAAGCATTCCTGTAATTTCGCTGCGAATCAAGGTGTGTCCTTTCAAACCTTTAGAGAGCTACATTTAACGCAAACCTAGATGCACGGCAAGAAGCTGAGTATAACTTAGAACACAGCTTGAGAAATCAAAGGAGCTGCTATTTTTTCTGTCAGTTTTGTCCCTTCGTTTCTCCCGATGATCTATTTAATTTTAACCAAATTAAATGATTAAGAAAATCAAATCAGATCTTACTTTCCACGTACCTTTACATCCCTCTGCATATCCTGGAAAAGGAAGAATTTATTGGTAGGAAGAGTTGAGAATGGTATTGACCCAGTCGTTCTGATTTCATAAAAGTAGCTTAGGAATGGCTACATCATTTCAGCACATATAAGGACGGTCAGGAAATCATTCTAAGTGCTCAAAAACACAGTAATGGAGGGGTGCCCCCCCACTAATGTGCCTCCTATGAGAAAACATAAGCTTCATTTTACACCTGCCACAACCTGCACTGAAGCAAAGTCGCAAGGATTTTAGTCCCTAGGTTCTCCACCCTCCACCCAGTGTAAAGGAGGTTTTCTGGCTCAGAATTAACAGCCCCGCGGGGAGCACTGATGCTTGGTGGCATCCACGGCCAAGCATGCTAGTTTATACTTGGGGGTTTCTCTCCCTCCTCCCACACCCTTACATTAAGATTTCCCCAAGGTTCAGTCCTAAATCCTCTGCTCTCCTCTCTAATCTCTCTTCCCTGGAGAAATGAAGTTCTTGTAAAGTTTCATCTATCACCGCACTGGCTCAGGTCGTAAATCTCGGTCTCTACTTCTGCTCCCTCTTTGGAATTTCAGTGCTTTTCATCACTAACTGCAGCTGCATTTGTAGATCCTGCCCCCTAACCAGGTCTAAATAACTTACTCCTGACCTTCCTTCTCCGCAGACGATTTTTCCTCTTCCTGCACCATCCCCATTTAGGACCACTGCTCTGATTCCCATGCTTTGGGACAGTTACATAGCGGCAGTGAAAAAAAGAAATAAGGCACCTGCTGAGCAGGATTGCCTTAGGATTGCAAACCCACCTTGATAGCTTTTCCAGACGAGTGGCAAACACAACCACAGACGTTTACACAGAACACAGTTTGTAACCCCTTCCAAAAAAGCTTTATAATGAGGGCTGTCTCTTATATTCAGGAGTTCCAAACAATAGATCAGTTTAAACAATAGGAAGAAAAGGAATACATTAGGATTTTTACCATTGTTACAATTTAGAGTTTTAACATCCTTTACATTGAATGCAATCAGTGAGGGTGGGGAGGAAGAAAGGGAGGGAGAGAACACGGTATATTTGGCACATTTCCTGCCAATCTACAGATAAAAAATTACTGCTTGCCTTTGTGCTTTTATATTACTGTCCTTTCCATATAGTGACTTTTCTTAAGCTTTGTCTTGGAAAACTAATGACATTTGTACAAAGCAAAAACAGTACACAGAAATAGAAAAAAAAGAGAATTACACTTTAATAATTACATCAGGTTGGGCTGTAAAACTCAAGTATGGAATATGAGGCCCCATAAGGCTTAAAAACAACTTATTCGTCTTAGTTATGAGATTTTACTTGATTTATAAAGCATTCTCTTTTGAATGACAGAATCCATAATTTACTTCTATAACAATGCAAATGCATAGCAATACTACCTTACCAGAGACTGCTGCTTGTGTTAAAGGAAGCTTATAAAAGACAAAAAAAAAAAATCTGCATTTTTCTATCCAAACAATAGATGACGAGACCAAATAATGCAATATCGATGTTATCTGTGGAACACAATATTTCAAAAGAAAACCAAGCCTCTTAAGTTTTTTCAAAATGACTTTGGAACTCAGGATAACATATTTATACGCGCAACACTTGGTGATAACAAAGTTCTTCTGTATAGTACTCATTCTTCAAGAGGCCCGAACTTAATTATAGGCCAAAATACTTTAATTGGAGTTTGGAGTTGAGGGGGATAAACTTTGTTTTTGACATTTGCTAACATTTGCTTTTGGTCCTTGTAGGGGATCAAGGCTTTGGTAAACAGGTGGGGATGGGTTGGGGTGGAGGCAGGGGAGGGACTGCCCAGCACAGTATGTAATTACCCATTGTTCTTGGCCTTTGGAAAACTAACGACTAGAAAAGTTCCAGTGTTTTTCTTAGACCAGCTAAGCACTTTGAATGGGTCACGAGATATCCTATCACACTGGGTCTGTAACAGCCCAGAAACTATCTTAGTCTGAAAAAAAAAATCACCCCTCAGGTTTCCCAAGCCACGTCAAAGGTGACTCAAGTCCTCCTTGTAGACCCACAGTTTCAGAGTTGCCATGAGCTTAGTGGACCAAGTCAAAAAGGATTCTACAAGTCTCGTACCTTTGACAGTTGCCAACCACCAGCAGAGCTGGCTCTATCCGGAAAACAGCAGCTAAGGCTAGTCAAGACAAAGAACTCTCTAAGGGGGGCACAGTCTGTTAGGCTTCTGACTCTTGGTTTGGGCTCTGGTCGTGGTCTCGGGCTCGTGGGCTCATGGGGTTGAGCCCCACATCAGGCTCCATGCTCAGCATGGAGTCTGCTTCGATTCTCTCTCTCTCTCTCTCTCTCCCTCTGCCCCTCCCCCACCCCATGCGCACACACGCGCTCTCTCTCACTCTCTCTAAAATAAATAAATAAATCTTAAAAAAAAAAGACAAAGAACTCTCTCTCTGCTTCCTCCTACGTATACACGGAGAATTAAAGAAGCATCGCAGAGATTAGCATGCAAGTTCATGTATGCTTGCCTGAATTTCACTTCTTTTCCATTTCCTTTGGCCTTAAAAACAAAAATCATTCTCATCTGGCCTTTCACTACGTTCCTGAGTTAAGAAAATAGCAAAGTGATTCAATAGGAAAGTGGTTCTTGGCTGAAATAAGAGCCACTACAGCCATGAATCTTCCAGTTCCCCCTTCCCCGCTACCCACTTTGAAATTGCACCCAAAAAGCAGCAGGGGGAGAAAATGGTCAATGAAACTTCTGAAATACATCTGCATCAAAAAGTTGATGACAGACAAAGGAAAAAGTTGCCGAGCATTTGTACAGCCTCCACAATTCAATCTATTTCCTTTTTCCTACCTTCAGGCTTTTGACAAATGAGTACAAAGCCTTTGACAGAGAGAGAAAAGTAGCATTGTAGAGATTCAAATCCCACCTAAGTCTTGGGAGTTATGAGAGTGAGTCTGTCAGATCCAAGATTTCCCATGCACTTGGTGGTAGAAAAACCCTGTGAAATGTACTTTTTTATGTTCCTAAGAGAAAGCTCTACCATCCATCAGAATACGAAAAGGACCCTAGGAAGCTGAAAATTACCCTTTGTCAGTCACAGTATCTTAACAGAAACAGCTGTTTGGAGAATGACTGGCTTCTTCAAATACATTTGGAATTACGGGGAGGGGGGTGGTAGTGGGAGAACCCCTCCCCTCAAATACAATGATAACTGGGTTACCTTTTCAAAGACACCTCACAGCTCTGCTAGGCGACTAAGAGTTAAGGTGAAATGTTAAAT